TAAGTGTCAAATACAATCAAGTCCTCAACTCATTGAATAAACAGAGCCTATGTTTATCTTTTCAGTGCTGCAATATCAGTCTTTTAGTCAAAGTAAAGGCCCAGAAAATTCATTTACATTGTCTGTTTGTCAAATTCTATGTACTTCAAAATTCAAAAGAATATTATCCTCTGAAAATATTAGTTTTGTCACACAATCATATTTATATAATTCAATACTCCTGATAAGTGTAGGACTTTGTAGAAACATATTTTAAAGAAGCATTGTCCTTACTACATCTCCAACAAGGCACTGCTTTTGACAGTCCTTTATTTTTATAAACATAATGGAATCCAATACATTCTAAGTTTATTTTTTTTTTGTTATATATCATAATTTGAGATCCATTGACATTCTTGCTATAGACGTTCAGACACTCTCCCATTCTCTAGGCAATATACAAAGCTCTAATTTTTAATTCCACTCATTTCTTAACTTCTGCATATGGAAATTGATAACAAATATCTATATGCTATTAGACAAGATAGGGAGATCTACGGATAGCGCATAATTCAGTTGAACACAAATTGGTTTTATTTGCAGACAATATTCTTTTGTTTATTTCTAAACCTCATATTAATATTCCAGTGTTGATGCACAGAATGGATGCCTTCAACAAAACAGCAGGATTCTCTATCAACTTTTCCAAATCAGAATTGATGTCAATAGATAAAAATTGGGTTATCCATCCATGTAAGGAATATCAATTCCATATTTGTATTGAATGCATTAAATTTCTAAATATGTATATACCAAAGATAAAACTCAGTAACAACTAATATAAATAAAATATTTGAGGGTTTCTTCAAACATCAGTAAATGGGAGCATCATGCTTACTTATTGTCAAGTATTAAATATTGGTAGCTAATAATCAATGTTTATTTTCTGATTAGGGCAACTTTGGAATATACATGTATAGCTTGTTTGGTTGGATGGACAGTATCAGGATTTAAATATATTAAATTAAATAAATTAAATATATTAAACTCTTTAGCATCTTTGAAAAGGTTACGTCAGTTAGAATGTTATTGAATGTAATATCTAATTTAAAAAAGTTTCAACCTTTTTTCCCATGCCAAATTGACTTTATGGGCAAATCCAGCTTTAAAAATTGATGACAAGATAATACAGAAAAATTGGATGTAAGCAAGAATACTGATTTTTGACCAACTAATACATGGTGAAGATGACTTTTTAACATACTCTTGTATTAAGAGACAAAAATTATCTATTAAATGCAACCTAAGGCAACATTTATGATTACAACATTTATTAATAACATTGTGTAGACTAGCAGCATTTTCAACTCCTGAGATACCTGACATACTAGGACATTTTGTTAAAACCTTTAACCTTTAAACCTATATTAGTTTTGAATACATAAATTGATTTTAATAGTCACATTTACTCATGGATACTTTCTCTCTTGGACAATTCCACAGAGAGTATTGATCTTCTCAGGGACCGTTCTGGATCAGCCTCAGATTTTACTAAGCATCAGAAAATTAGGATTTAGGTGACTCTAATGTGAATGTTTACAGCCATTAAATGAATGGGGCAATATACTAGGCATAGATTAAAAAGGCCAGAGTGACACTTGCAAATTAACACAAGGTACTTGGGACAGCACACAAGCTACGATTCAACATGATATACAAGCAAATGCTAACTGGCTGTTGGATCAGTCAGTATCAAAAATATCTTCCTTCTCCCTTTGGAAATTCTTTTTTATTCAGAATTTCTGTTTTAGTGAGCTTTTAGTATGCAAATGATTTTAGATATTCTCCAACTATACTGTAGACATATTTCTTTCATAACATTTACCCTTTTTTTTTTTTACACTCCATCACATTTTTCTATTATTCTGGCACAGTCTAGTGACAGCAACAGAGACTAAAAAGCAGCTACTGTAGGCACTTAAGGGCAGACTCATTCTGAATGGAAAAGATTGCAAAAGAAATAGATTACATTGCCCCCTCACCCTGTGCAATCAAATGGCTTTTCAAATGGAGGCAACTCAGCTCCAACACAAAGACAATATATCCATTGATGTGATCTTCCAGATGGGCAATTCTGAGGCTTCAGTTTTCCATTCCAAACTAGTGCCGAGTTTGGAAAATGAAGGTGGAAAGGATGTAATAAGAATACTGCTGTTGCTTTCCTGTTCCCTCCTAATCAGAACATTGCATCTTGGCTTGGAGACTAAAATAATAATTTTCCTTTTCCTTTCCTTTTCATCCATTGCTTCTTGTTCTACTTTCAGGTGCTTTGGAGAATAGGTTGGCTCTCTCTTCTCTGTTGCAGCCCCTCAAATATTGAAACACCGCTATCATGTCATCCCTAGTCCTTCTTTTCACTAGACTAGACATGCCAATTCCTACAAATATTCTTCATATGTTTTAGCCTCCAGCCCCCTAATCATCTTTGTTGCTCTTCTCTTTCTAGAGTTTCAACATCTTTTTTATATTAGGGTGACCAAAACTGGATGCAATATTCCAAGTGTGGTCTTACCAAGCCATTATAAATTGGTACTAATACTTTGTGTGATCTTAATTCTATCCTTCTGTTAATGCAGCCTAGAACTGCATTAGCTTTTTTGGCAGCTGCAGCACACTGCTGGCTGATATTTAAGTATTGTCCATTAGGATGCCAAGATTCCTCTCAAAGTTATTTTATTGGAGTACCAGTGCATTCTTCCTAGAATAAGAAAAAGTGACTTTCCAAAGTCACTGTTAGCTTTGTGCCTAAACAGAACTAGAATTCACAGTATCTAGTTTCTATCCCACTGCCTTTAATCACTTAATCACATTGGTTCTCCTCAGTGCCATATTAAATCCAACGTTTTTATATGTGTTACTATATTTGTTAAGTACCCCACTCTTACATTTCTGAGTGATATACAGAGTGAAACATACCTAACTTGCAAAAGGCTCTGGTAACCATGAAGATGGTAGAGGACAGAAGACCTGGAGGAACATTGTCCATGGGGTCGCGATGGGTCGGACACGACTTCGCAACTAATAACAACAAACCATGAAAGTATGAACTTACAAGCTACACTGAATCCTTCCACCAAGACATGGAGATTGCAATCACCCCAAACTCCAAAAAGTCCAACAGCAGCTTCCAAATGTCATTCAAGAGTTTATAAAGGGCTTCTGCTGGGCAGGTTGGTGAACATTAAACCAGCAGCTGCCCCAACTTGTCCGTAATTCCACACAAGACGTGCAACCAGTTATCTTCAAAGCAGCATCCCTTGCTGTGACCGCAGTCTCACAAATTAACACAGGTACCAAACTCCTCAATTTTGCAGGAACAGAAACCCAGGAGAGCAGATATCTGATGACTTTTCATGCCTTTTGCTCCCCAGCCAGGTCTTAGTAGTACATGCCAGGTCTCTATTCTTGACCATCAGTATATTATAAATGGGCAGTCTTATGGTACTTCCAAGGTACCTCTAGCACCAGCTACCTAGGCCCAGTTTGGGGGGTTCTGCTTGTAGAATTATTCTATAATCTACAACGCAATGCCTCTAATATTGAAAAGGAATATATTTTAACTTGATAGTCAATAAAACCAAATTCAGCATTTATGAATTATAGATGCAGGAAATTTCAGAGAAACAACCTCTAAAACCAGCATCTTTCACACTGTAGTCCACCTGCAACCCTCTATGATAAAACTTTCGCTGTACTTTAAATTGACGTGTGCTTCCCCCTGGCAGCTAGCTACTTTATTATCGTGTGATCTAGTTTCAAATAAAAAGGGGAGGAGCTAGAGAAGCTCCATCAACAACGTTACATTGGCAAACCCGAATGATCAAGCTCTCTCGGAGGACTTTCAGACCGACCCCCCCCTACCCCCGTCCACTCGATAGTGGTGCAAGAATCCACTTTATTGCAAGAATGTTTGTTTTTCACTTGCTTTTCAAGCCTACAGCAATTCTGTTTTTCTTTGAACGAAAACCGCGCTATCTTGGATAGCGATCGTCAGACCTGTAACGCCCACTAACCGAGTTCCCCTGTTCTCCCCCCCCCCCGGTCTGCCGCGCCCCCGCCCCGCAAAGTTACGGTGTTTGATTTCGTGCGTTTCAGTTTACGTTTGGCCGCAAAGAGAGGAAAGAAAGAGCCGTAATACCAACGCCCGCTGGCGACCGAAGGCAAGAATCCTAAAGCGACAGGCAGCATTTAACAACTATGGAAAACCTGCTGAAATCTGAACTGAAAACCACCGTTTTGAAGCTCTTGGGTGGCTCAAGAGGAGGGTGCATATGCCAAGGACAAGCCTACGAAACCGACGGAGGACGAGTGTTTGTTAAAAGCCACAACAAGCCCCAGGTTAACGACACTGTAGTGACAGCTCTGTTAGCTACTAAAATGCTGCTGTTGGGAAGGCTTGGGGAGTAGGAGGGCAATCCGCTGGCAGCGGCAGCTCGTGACACAGCTGTTTGTTTTGCTCCCTTTTGCTTTTACCGCTTGCAATAAGGGTGCGCAGGATGGGTGAAGCAAATTCCGTTAAGGGGCGGATTGATTTTCTGCGCAGCTTGATCAGCATATGTTTGGGGAGGGGGCTGCGTAGGAATATCTGGTTCGTGAAATCAGCTGAAGTAATCCCGGAAATTCATAGTAATTATCTAATTAGCTCTTCTGCTCTAAATCCTCATGGAATCTCCCACTGAGTCTCGCTGGCCAATTAATTAATGCAATTAAACCAAGTTAAGCAAACATTTGATTAAATTTGGGCACCTGTACGTTTTTTTTTATTTTATGGTGATGGAAACCTATCTGCTGGCTTGTCGTTCTTTCAAAGCACTTTCAGTACTGGGAATTTACATAAATACATAAATAAACTCGTATGCTATCAGCTGCTCACCACAATCAAAGAAATTACAATAACATCAAAAAGTCAAATGCTAAATTATTTTCTCTGAAAAAAAATCATTTTTATATGAAGCAAATATAAAAATACATTTTATATTTTTCAGAATGGTATTGTTAGCATCTGGATTTTTAAAAGAAATTAATCCTGATTTTGCACATTTTAATGGTGCTGTTAAGTCACTGAGAGTCCTAGTGGGTTAAATATAAGTATATAATACAGTATATATTTACCTTTGCATGTGCTCATATCTATTGCAAAGGACATTCTAGTTGATAACCAGTATATCCAAATTTATTTCTCTGCTAGCAAATATCTACTATTTTATTAAGATGAGTTTATAATTCTTTCATTAGCTTATTGAAGAGATGAAAAATGTGCTTATTAGGCATTAATAAGAGCATGCTGCCAGAGAAGATTCAGGATTGCCCCTCATCCCATCTATATACCTACCATCTTGTGTATGTTTGATAGTTTGTAACTTTCAGTTGGGCTAAACAGTGCAACATACAGCAACATTCTTTGAATCAAAGTACTTCAGATGGGCTAACTTAGAGAATTCATCCAAAATCTGAAATCTACCACTCACATGAGACTGAAATCTGGCAAACTTGTGGCCACTTTAGCACCACCACACCTTCCAACTGCGTTTCCCAGAAACCAATGTGCTGTATGGTGCAAGTGAAGATGGCCCTCTCTCCCACCCTCTTTTCCATCTTCCTCTGGCCTCTGCGTCTAATTGGCTGGTAGCAAGGCCTGATGGTGAGTGGCCATTGGTTGCTTTGGACCTGAGGCTGAAATTTGAAATCTGTTAATGGCTGGTGAGGGAAGAACAAGGGAATGACTTGGATGCCTGCAAGAATAGGGCTACTTGGAAGACGTGGGCATTCGTGATTGATAGCTGAACATTCTTCCTCATTGGAGGGAAGGGATCTTTGGGGACAAGCCAGAACCCATTTTCTTCCTCACTAGGGCGGGGTGCTGTTTTCTTCTTAGTCTCTAGCTCTCTTTGTTCCCTTTACTTCCAGCAAATTGGCAAGCACTTTCAAGGGTCAGTTGAGAAAGAAGAGGGTTTTGAGGGCAGAGGAAACATCACAAGCCTACATTATATGTGGAAAAAACCCAACGGGTCCCAGGTTGTTTAGGGTTTTCTAAAAATGTAATTTAGTGCCCTGACTTCCTTTTGTGGGACACTTCCAATTTTTTTAAAAAAATTCTGGGCTACAGCTATCCACCATTTTTATTTTCTAAGAATTCCTATTTGGGCCAGAGACATTTTTTGAAATAAAGATGCTCTGGAGACTGGAACTTTCTTTAGCACCATGCTCTGATTATTTATTTTGTTCATGTTTATGAACTGGATGACTCTATAACAACTAGAATGAACAGAGCATCTGGCTTGTACCAAAGAACAGGTCTATGGGCACCTATTTCCGAAATGTTTACTGAGCAATGCTTCCTTCACCTGCTCCTGGATATTTGGTGTATATTTATTTACAAAAGTCCTGCAAAATTCTAACAATTTTCATTAAATTATATTCTTCTTTCTGACCAGGCTAGGATTATGTTTGAAGGTGAAATGGCAAGTTTGAGAGAAATTCAGAAAACCAACACCATACGAGTTCCCCAGCCAATTAAAGTGATGGATCTTCCTGGAAGTGGAGCCGCATTTGCTATGGAGTACATAAAAATGAGAAGCCTCAACAAGTATGTTAAAGGCTTCATTTTAGGATGTTGGTTCTCCGAATTAACATCCCTCTTCTTTTCTTTTACAATGGCAGTTCTGAAAAGACCCTATATGTTACTACCATGAAACAGTGTCTCACTGGAAGCAAAATAAATTCAGGGATGAGGATTTTCACATTTTCTTGGAGGAGGGTGTGTGTGTAAAGCTAAATGTCCTGAAACCCCTGATCAAGAGACTAATCTCTAAGGACAGAACATCTATCTATATAAATAAAAATGTAAATGTTCGTTTGTTCAAAATCTTAAATCTCCGAAAGTTCTTCACCGATTGCTTTGAAATTTTGACACAACATTGCATTTGAATACACACGTGTTTTTATATACCTACTATTATATAGATGTCACACCTGTGACAGGTAAAAACATGTTTTTGAAAAACAGCGCCATCTGTTGGACGTAAAAGCAATTTTACGTAAACAAAAACATATTACAAACGTGCGCTTTCTCTTTTCTTTCTTTTCCATTTAACTAGACTGAGCCACAGCAACGCGTGGCCGAGTACAGCTAGTTGGTAATAATACTAAACTTGTACTGATTGCTGATGATTAGGGGACTGGAGGTGTATGAAGAATGGTTGTAGGAATTAGGTATGGCTAGTCTAGTGAAAAAGATCAGGGGTGACATGATGGCAGTGTTCCAGTATCTAAGGGGCTGCCACAAAGAAGAGGGGATCAACCTATTCTCCAAAGCACCTGAAGGTAGGAAAGGAAGCAATAGATGGAAACTAATCAAGGAGAGAACCAACCTAGAACTAAGGAGAATTTTTCTGACAATTAGAACAATCAGTGGAATGACTTGCCTCCAGAAGTTGTGGGTGCTCCAACACTGGAGGTTTTTAAGAAGAGATTGGACCACGATTTGTCTGAAATCATAGAGTTTCCTGCTTGAACAGGGGGTTAGCCTAGGCCCTAGAAGACCTCCAAGGTCCTTTCCAATTCTATTATTCTGATTGATCTCCTGCCACATCCATCCAAAACTTTCCATGTGACCTTGCTTCAAGTTCCAGCACTGATGGGTCAGAACATAGTGTGGAAAATCATATTTTGGGGCGTTAACAAACTCAGATCCATAACATTCCATAGAATTTCAGTGAAGTTATACCAGCAAGGAATTCTTCCCTTTGCCAACCTATGAACCCTGTACAATGACAATCATACATACAGTATCTGTAAAGATTGGAGCATTTACCTGGTCTTGGCTGAATTGGCCAATTGGAGGCATTCAAACATTCTAAGGTTCATTTCATCTTTTAACTCTTATATGTCCATATCATAGTTAATGTGATGTTTTGTTCTAGTGTGGACACACAATCATTTGGAGAGGCCAGCCATAGCAGTATAAGAGCTTTCTTCTGGTATTGCTCATCTTAAATTTTGATAAGTTACCTTGAAACCAGCATGATGAATGTAATACCTACAGAAATTTCTCATAAGGGAGATGTGGGCAACTTGCCCTCTTAGTGGCATTTCAATTATTTTTTGTGAAGTGATTAAAAAAAGGGATTTGTCCCCAAGGGAGATAAACGATGTGATGTCAGAAATAAAAAGAATATATCCAGATTTAGGACTTATCATGGTGAGTCAATTTCTCAGAGAGATTATCATCTGACAAAACATGGCTCTTAACAAAAAAGAAAAATATAGAGTCAAAGATCTTCCTTCACTGTGCAGAGGTCCAATTATATTGGAATTGTTAAACCTTATAATTTCTCAAATAATTTTTGCAACCTGTTGGCTGGGTTCACACCCATGTTTAGGAAAAATGTTACTGGCAAGTTGTGCCTCACTGAATTATGTGAAATTGGGCAATTGGATTAATTTAATAAACTATTGATAGGGTAACCATTGTTTAACATGTTGTGCAGATACAATAATTATTTTCTAAATTATATGTGTGTGCATGCATATGTATAAAATCTCTTTTCAGGCTGATTTGAAACCACATGGTCCACAACATTGGGGTTTGTTTTCTTCTCCTTCTAGATACTCAGCAAAACTTGGTGAACAAATGGCAGATCTTCACCTTTACAATAAAGAAAATGGAGAAAAACTAAGAAAAAAAGAACAAACAATTGGTACAGTATAGTTGTTATGAACTAGGTTACTTATAATTAACAGGTTTTGAACACAACTTTAGATGGAAGCCGATGTAATTATTAGAACTCATGGTACTAAAGATATTGAAATATATAAGCAATTAATATGTCTCCCTTTCCTTTTTTGTATAAACAATTATTCTTTATAATATTGCTATTTGCTTCTGTTCTATCAGAAAATGGACATTATTATTGATTCTGAAAAAGTATATATGCAAAGCAAATCTGGTTGCCCAATCAGGCATACATCCAATGTATTTTATAGTATTTAACTCTGAGAATTTCAGTTCTTGCACTGTATGGGTAGTTCTCACTTACCAATAAAGGAGAATATTTGTAGCTCACAGCTAAAATGAGGGGTCCATGGTGCTTTCTGAGCTGGGTTGTTTTCTTGCAGATGTTTCATTACCCAAACTAGATATTATCAACAGTGCTAGTTGCTAGTTCTAGAACTGATGATATTACCTAGTTTGGATAATGAAATGTCTGCAAAAAAAGAACCAAACTCAGAGGGCATCAAGGACCCTTCAGTTCTCACTTACCATCTACAGTTGAGACTGGCAACCCTGTTGCTAAGTGATGCGGTCATAAGTGACACTTCACATGACTGCAGCTGCCTTTTGACATCAGTTCATCAGTTCCTGCATGGTCATTAAGCAAATCCCTGTGGGCTAAGCACAATGTCACATGACCTTGATTTGCAACTTCCTGTCAGCTTCCCCATTAACGTACTTGTTAGAAGCCGGCTGTGAAGTCACAAATGGTGATCATATTACCACAGGATGTTGCAACTTTTGTAAATGTGTGCCAGTTTCCAAGTGCCCAAAGTGGCTGATCTCATGAATGCAGGGACATGAAAGCTGCAACTTAGAGGCCTGGTCATAAGTCTCCATTTTTAGTGCTGTCGTAACTTTGGACCAGTCGCTGAACAAGTGGTTGGAAGTGAGGATATCTGTATTCTATCTAAGGCTGCAGTATGAAACTATTCCTTGATATGGAACTCAGTAGGATTCATTTATGAGGTGCTCAGTAAGTAGAGAAAATAAGTGTTTCTATTTTCCTGTTTGCAGTCTTACTTTTGTGAGTTTATTTTGTTAGGAGTAGGCCAGATAGAACCTAATTATGTGGATAAATTTGGATTTCATGAGGTCACCTGCTATGGCAATATAACTCAGGTAAGTTCCTTGAACAAAATATATGATGTAAGATGTAGAGTGTTAATTGTAAAGCCATCATCTCTTTCTAGACTACTGAACTTAAGTTAAATTATTTAGGTATTTTTATACCTGGCAGGTGTAAGGAAGGAAGGGAGTAAGTCTTTTCTTAGTTACAATCATTTCGTTATGTGACTGGCATTTAAAGCCCAATATTACTTCTAGCATCTTAACTGACCATACAATTTTTTTTTTGTAAACAGAGTATAGAGTTTTTGTATTCATGTTTTGCTAAGTAACATTGTGGCTGGAATTTTGCAATTGCCACAAAAATCATATGTTCAAAGAAAGTGATCTTATGCTGTAGTTGATAAATTCATAGCATCATTTTTTCACTAGTTTTATTTTGCAGATCAATGAGTGGCAAAACGACTGGCCTACTTTTTTTATTCGACACCGCCTCCAAGCCCAAATGGATTTAATAGAAAGGGATTATGGAGACAGAAAAGCAAGAGAGTTGTGGGAACAGTTAAAGGTAGGAAGAAAATGTTAGAATATTATTACATTAAAGCAACAGAAAATGTTAAGAGTACTTGCCTCTTCAGAGGCTAAAATCCAAGTGAGCATTTCTGGCTTTGTAATCAATCTACCAGCATTTATTATAGCTATGAGATTTTCTTCTCAAGAAAAAGATCAATTTATAGTTTTATTTATCCGCTGCTCTTTAACATGTTTTTTTTTCTAGCTACGATTTGATTGCTCTACAATCCTTTTTGGATGACTTGGATATAATTTTTATTTCCTTTCAGCCCCATTATAAAAATGAAATGTAAGAAATGAGTGTATATAAATCAGAACTGGAACTTCTTTACTGAAAGGAGAGCCCAAACTTGGTCTATCCTAAACTTTTGTGATGTTTGAGACCACACTGCCCTAAGCCATTATGTGGCTTGTTTGTGACCTTCCATACGGGTGAAATTCAGTCTTTGGGAAGTGTAAAACATGATGGAATGAAGTATTATATAAAATCAGTCAGTTAGTGATGGTGTAATGCAGACATGTCGAACTCGCGATGTCACGTGATGTCACGCAACCTATCGGCACAGTTTTGCCATTGCCAGCAATGGGGTGGCGCGGCTTCCACGTGACGTGTCCAGCCCGTGGGCCGGCAGTTTGACACCCCTGGTTTAATGTAACAATAGTGAAATTTTATGTTTGAATCTAGTATCAGTTTCCTTTTAGTTCTTCCATCCCTGTCTTCTTTATCTAATGATCCTATTCCATTCATAATATGGAGCTGCATTTCCTATAACTGTACTAACTTTGATATTATTTTCATTTTTTTAAAAAAAATCTGATTTAATCTCCTGCTCATTCTCTCTCTGCCTTTTTCTCCATCTCTGTCTCTCACTAGCCTGTGATCTAAAATCATTCTGAAATCAGGAAAATATACTCAAAAGCAATTATAAACATTGTCCCTATTTCACCTTATTAGGTTAAGTCATAATGAGAAGCCCAATGTTGCCAGCAAAAGCGACACAATTTGTAATATATTCAGTTTCTAAAACTAGGATTAAAAAATAAAAAAGTACTTTTATAATCTGTATGTATATTCTGATATTTGCCTTGTAGTTTCCACAGTAAATTGTTTTCTTTGCCCGCTCTTTAACCTATCTGGTTTTTTAAATTTTTTTTACAGCCAAAGATTCCAGAAATGTTTCGTGGCTTGGAAATAATTCCTGCACTTGTTCATGGTGACCTGTGGTCAGGAAATGTAGCTGAAGATGACTATGGACCAATTGTCTTTGACCCTTCTTGTTTCTATGGTCATTCAGAATTTGAACTTGCAATTGCTATGATGTTTGGGGGATTTAATAGCTCTTTCTTCTCTGCATATCACAGCAAAATCCCTAAGGCTCCAGGTTTTGAGAAACGCAATGCCCTTTATAAATTATTTAACTATATAAACCACTGGAACCATTTTGGTACAGAATTTCGGGGACCTTCTCTTAATGTAATGCAAAGCCTTTTGAAATAATTATCATGCAATATCATTCTTATTAAGTGATTCCCTGTTTGGTACCTGCTGCTACAAATGTAATGCATCAGAAATGTTACTTAAAAGACAGAAAGAGTTACATTGGTGTGATATACATCTGCTTCCTCACAAATTCTTGTATTGGCTGTTGGGACTTATGGATAATCAACTGGAAAAAAAACTTGTGGAAGATCATTTTCGTGCATGGGAACTGCAGCAAGATTACTATATGTACAAAGATGGAAAGTTTCTGAAATGTCTATGATAGGGGAATGATTAGTGAATATGATGAATTTACAGAAATGGCAAAACTTACTTGTTTGATTAGGGAGAAGACAAGTACAATTATGACTGTCTGGAAACCCTTTATGGACTTTTTGCTGAAAACTGGAAAAATTTGAACTGGTGATTGATGGAGTTGATGATTAGAAAGGGAAGATATGGGAAGAAAGGAATTATGCTATAACCTTGAAGAGGAAGTATAGAAGGTAAATATTTTGTAATTGCTATTAAGAAGATTGGAAGCCGATCCTTTATATATATTCTTTTTCCTCCTTTTCATTCTTCTTTTTTTATTTAGTCACTTGCTCTGATTCTTTTTTTACTTTTTATTTTGTTTACTTTTATGTTTGCTTCTACTATTGTATAAAATACTAAATTTTATACAACAAAATTTAATAAAATCACAGACTCACACATGTATTGGCCTTGTGGGTCAGTATAAACATTTAGAGCTGAAACTTATGCTGTTGTTATTTAATCCTTCAAAGATTCATGCAAGGCTTATAGATAGAGGCAATGCTTCTAATATTTTAATTTTAATTCTTATTGACTCAGTGTAGTAACCTAAAAGAAATCATGGATAATGAAATTTTACTCTTCATATCTTTTCATTTTCTCCCCATATAAGAAGAATTACAGTAAAATGTTAAAAAATAGAGAATATTAGTCACTGATTTCCATACCACTTCAGGATTTATTTGACTGCTGTGCTGCATTTATATACTGTATCTCATTTGAAAAAAATATTCTAAGCTCTCCTTTCCATTAGAAAATAAGTTGCATTGTTATTTTATAACAATAGATTTTTGAGGTTTAGAATTTCCAGCATCTCCAAAAAAGCTTTACAATAGGATGTTGAAAATAACAATCTTTGAAATGTATATTAAAAATGCTTATGTGGTAAATGAAATATAAATGATTTGAGAGAAATTTTATTTATAACAGTTGATGGTTTCATAATTATGCACTAACATAGATGAACTATTTATTGAAATAAAATATTCAATATCTATGATTGTTTTTTTTCCTAAAAATATCTCGTTATTACATTTTTAAGAGAGCAGGCTTGCAAAATTACTTAGTAATACTGATTCCAGTGAATTCCCAGATAAGTCTGGATAGGGTTCTTGTATGTAATATTATAACACTAGCTGTCATGTTGTGTCTTTTTCTTTTATCACAAGATAAATTTATGGATAAGCTTACAACATGTAATCCTTAATAATACAGAACTTGAATAAGAGTTATTGTACATATAATATGAAATCAAAAGAAAGCAAAGCCCTATTTACATCATTTGAAATTAGAGTTCTTCTAACTGTAAGTTCAGGTATGTAAATTTGGGATACTTTATCCTTGTTCAAACTTAATTGCAAGGCAAGTAAGGGGGAGAGAACAGGCCATAATCCAAATGACAAAACCTCAGAGGTTACTTGGGGCCTATAGGCTAGATATTCATCACTTTCATTTTAACAGTTTATAGTAAATGGGATTGAATATGACCTCCATATAATATATACTGTAGGAATATTTAAAGAAAAAAAATGGGGAAACAAAGAATCTTCTCCCTTCTCTCAATGAATACGAAATTGGGATTTGATGGTCTCAATAACAGCTCTGCTTCAGCGGGTCTATGTCTCTACATTTTGTCCTTTTGACATGTTAATCTCAAGGGGAATTGGTAACAAACAAGAAACTGTTTCTTGGATTTGTAGCTAATCAAGGTTTCACCTTGTATTGATCAGTAATATAGTTGTCCTGCATTTTGAAGAATTGTAGAGCAGTAGCTGAGTCTTGTAAATGAAGATGAAATGGCAGCATACAGTTTCTGTAACCCACTCAGAGATAAATGGGTGGTATGATTAATGCCTCCTTGTCAATCTGTGTATGTTTTTACTTGGAAAGGCAGTTATTTTGGGGGGATTTCAGAAAAAGGAGTGTGTGTGGGAGGTTATATCAGTTGCTCCTAACCTTCGAGTGCAGCAGGCGAAGGTTGAAGGGGAGTGAGAAGGAAAAAAGACCCATTGTCTCTTTCCTGAATATATAAGATTCCGACATCAACCTAGATTGAACACTTATGACCAAATCAGTGGTGAGGCTAAAATCATAATTAGACAGGGTTTTTTTAATCAAAAGAAATGATAGTGCGGTATGATTTTTGTTCAAGTGTCAATGAATAGGAAAGGGAAGTTTAACATCTTCTTCCCTGATATACTTTAGATGAAGTCCTATTACTCCCCAGCACCCCCCTTTCATTAGGGTCAGTACGATCCATTTTTCCTTCCTGGGATCAACAGCAATTACAAAGAATAGAAGATTTCCTTTTAATTTCCTTTGAAACATCCTGTTTACATCTCTCAAACTCTGGTAACCTTAATGTGAAGCTCCTAGTGATTACATTCCTAAAATGGAAATTTGGAAATGCTTATCAAGCTTTATAAGCAATTTGTCGCAGATCAAATCACTATGATGTGAACTTAAAGCAATTCCCCTTATCTTTCTATTCCACAGAAATATCTAGGATAAATAAAAAAGAAATCTTCAAAGCATTGCTCTATCTTAAGAAATCTTGGTAAACAAGATTTTAAGCTCCAACAATTACTTAAATATGGCCATGCTAGATCAAAGAAAAAATCCCATCACTGATTATCATCTTCTTGTACCCTCATTCTATTCCTCCTTTTGGTTGATGACCTAATCCCACTGCCAGAGTCAGTAAAATGTCAGTAAGGGAACCTCTTCCTCGGCTTTTCTCTTCTCCCATATCACCAATACACTCTAAATGCCAGGTGACTGAACCTGATCTATAACTGTTTTCGCCCTTAAGAATGGTCTGAACATCCACTACATTGCCTAATTACTATATTAAGCATACCTAATAAATTATATGCTCGCGTCTTGCATTATAAACTATTGGATTGATTGGAGTAGAAAAAACTCTTAGTAATATTTTGGGAGGCAGATGTTCAATCGGTGTGCCATTTTACATTTCTAATAGAGAAACACACATATGGCCAACACACATATCTCCATATGTCCTTTCTTTTCCAAGGGCAAATTATGATGAAACTGTCCCTCAAATCTATGGTTTGGTGGCTACTCTTCTTAATTAGGATGCTGTAATAAAATACAATGACAAAAAGCTAAATGGGACAGAGCTTAAAAACCTTACTGTAAATATTCTAATATGCCAAGGTGTGAAACAATGTTGTATTATAGCTCCCTTTTTTTAATTCAGTGGTACCTACCTTAACTTGAAAGGAATTCCGTCCTTCTAAACTCAGTGACATGCACTTTGACAGTATTGCTGATAATGTTCTTTTGCTTACAAAGGTGGGCCTTGGAGGAATTTTGTAAGGTGGAAAAAAGCTTACAACTTGAAAAGACCTAGTCACAGAAACATCAATGACAAATTAGAAATAATAAAATGGAAAAAGTTCTTCAATTTTTCAAGTCTTAAGAGCTTGGTAGAAACAAATTAGGGCCATTTCTTCCAGAAGCACCAAGGTAATTCTATGCTTTTTCATTACAAAGGAGGGAGATACATACCTGCTGCCATAAAGGTTTTTAATGCTAAAACTATATACAAAATTCTGTATAGTGCATAGCATTCCACCTATAAGATTCAAAGCCCTTGGATGTTGTTCAGTATGCATTTTTCTTCCACATCCCATGCTGTATTTCAAATGTATGGAGATGACTGTCCATGTTTGCCCACTTTCTTATTGCTGTTTTTCAGGGGCTCAGTGGACCATTAATTGTCCTTGATATATTTTTTATCAGACTGGAAGAAAAAAAAACCTTAACCTGATTTGTATTACCGAGTCTATTTACTAGTATAGAAGAACCCAAAGTTGAAATCTGTCAATCTTTGACATTGCATGACAGGTGGCTTTTGGGTGCTGTGGGTAACTTTCAGTGCTGGTTTCCAATGTGGAAAACTTATATATCCACAAATTACTAATTCAGCTTTATTTGCACAGCATACTACAGAGCCTTTTCTTCATCTCACACCTTACCCCTAGCAGTACTAGTTGGGAGATCTCATTCAGTGAGAGATGATGCCCTTGTGATCAGAATGAACCTAAGAATTTATCACATGTATTTTCCCCACTGCCTTTTCTATACTAGTTTACATATAGGTAAATTGTACTCTCTTGCAAAAAAACCCGCAATATCTTTTATGGGAGGTGGTTTATTTCCTACCAGTAGAACTCTATCATTACCTTTAGATTTGTTAAGTTTCTATCTACAATGATTTCCATAGGAAAGCACATGACCTAATCATGGATTAATAACATTATTAAGTCTTTCTTTTTTCTTTTACCATCTTTTATTTTGTTTTATTCTATTTTGTTTTATACTGTTTAATTATTTATTTTTAAGTTTTATATGACAATTTTGTTATATTTGGTATTAAGCAATATCAAATATAACAAAACAATCATATAAAACCTAAAATAAATAAACAGTATAAAACAATAGAAATAAATTTTTTTAAGGAATCTTAATAAGAGTTCAAGTCATAATTATTTAAATATTGCCATGCTAAATCAGATTAATGTACCACTACACCAGGGGTGTCAAACTGCCGGCCTGTGGGCTGGATGCGTCATCCAGAAGCCGTGCCCACCCCGTTGCCGGTAATGGCAAAACTGTCCTGATATGTTGTGTGATGTCACGTGATGTCGCGAGTTTGACATGTCTGCACTACACTGTCTTTAATCAGATTCAGAAGTTACCCCTCAGCGTTGGCTGAGATATTTTTTTTCATCCAAAGAGAAAATGGCCTTGGTTCTGGTGTTAATATCTGTCTGGTAAAGAGCTGTAATTTCAGCATGGAACTCCTCTGGGTTGCATCTTTGATTAATATTTGATGCCTGTTCAAAGTTACAATGGCACTGAAAAAAGTGACATGACCAGTTTTCACACATATGATCATTTTAGCATTCCCACAGTCATGTGATCAAACTTTGGGTGCTTGGCAACTGGTATGTATATTTACGATGGTTGCAGTGTCCTGGCATCCTGGGATTGTCATTTGCAACCTTCTTAGGAAGCTTCTGACAAGCAAGGAAAGCCAGACTTAATGACCACATGTTTCACTTAACAAACTTCAGTGATTCACTTAACCATGGCAAAAAGGTCATAAAATGGGGCACTACTCATTTAACAACTGTCTTAATTAGCAACAGATATTATGGGCTCAACTGTGGTCGTACGTCGAGGACTACCTGTAATGACATCCATATATATGCTCCACATTCAAATGTTCAAATACAGATGCTATAACTCTATGGGGGCCCTTGGTGCTCTTGGAACCTGGTGATCTTCTTGCAGACATTTCATTCAAACCTGTAATTCAATCCTGAGCTACAAACATTCTATCAGTACTATGATTCTAATGCAGTTATTTCTGCATTGACCTATTAGAACTGAATTATACTTCGTTTCCATTATTATTATTAATTAAATCTATTATGGCAGGGGTTCCCAACCCCTGGTCTGTGGACCAGTACCAGGCCATAGCATGCCAGCAACCTGTCAGCACAAATAAGCAATCCATCTGCAAGATGCAGACAGCACACGAAACTACACACTCTTCAGTCCGTGGAAAAACCTCTCTCCATGGAACCGGTCCTTGGTGCCCAAAAGGTTGGGGACCTCTGTATTATGGCCACCCACACCAAAAGACTATTTTATTATTGCTAGACTGTTCTTTAATTGAATAAGAGTATGTTCTTATTCTGTACATACATTCACTTATGACTGTGACCCAGCCAATTTGTAAGGTACCTCTCAAAGGTAGACTTAGGTGTGTGAGAAGGGTTTTTATTTAATTTCTATTTTTAGATCCCTTCCTTTCCTTTCCCATCCCCTCCAGTCTCCTGGGCAGATTCTATAATAGACAAAACAATATATAACATCCTTTCTAAAAGACAAAAACGCACAATACACCCATGAGTGTACCATCCTGAATTCTTTCTTTGGAAGAATGGGATAATAACTATTCTCCGCCCTTCTTGTCCCCATCCTTTTTTAACCTTTACTGGCGCTGAGGCTGAACCTTTTCTATGAAATGCACTTGATGAGAAATTGGTGTAGCGCCCCACCTGGCCCGTAGCGAAGAACAGCTTTGCTACTGCGGGATTAAGAGAAAACGGGCGGGGGACGTCAAAACCTCCAACCGCTGCAGAAGGGAGATCACCAGCCCTGCCAACTCCTTTCTTTCCGCCCCTCCCCTCCCCTTCGCTAAGCTCCTCCCCCTCCTCCTGAAGGCAGAATCCTGACGTTTTCAGCTTTTCTGACCCACGCGGGGAGCCGTAGAGCGGAGGCCTGGCCTTGGTAGGCGCCAACGACGAGCCTCGTTGGTTGTTAAGGTAATGAAAGCTTCGGCGGGGCGGAAAGAGGGGCCGATTACAGAGGGTTGCCCGAGCCTCTACGAGAGGCGGAGTGGAAAGTCGGTCTGGTTGGAGGGAGATTGGGTCATTCAGAGGCGCGGAGGGAAGAGATGTGGCCCGGTCCGCCCAGGGAGAGAATTCCCTAAAAGCAGGATGCTGGGTGTCCCAACCATCCTCTTCCACCGCCTCTTCCTTAGGAAATACATTTAAGTCTATGCCAAGGCGTGGCGAGAACAAATCAAGTCGGGGGAATTGGGTCTAAGGGTGGTCAAAGTGCTTTAGCTTTATTCTTGAATATTGGTCCTTCCGCAGTAAATGGAAACACCCAGCCCTTGGAAACATAGGCATGATAGGAAAGATTGTTCCGGTGTATTGCGTGGTATTTAAAACCTGCAGGCCGGCTATAATTACTTACAGCTCAAGATTTTTTCTACCGCTATATTTTATTTGCAGAGCAAACCGGTTTTCAGAGCCATCCAATTTCTGCAGATTGAGGATGAAGGAAGATGCCTCCTTCAGGCTTTATGCAGATTCCATTCTGGCAAATGATAGCCAACAGCTAGGATTTTTTTTTTTAGGCAGCTTTTCATGGGTGATGCTGAAAAACCAGGCAAGAATATCCATTGGAAGGAATTGGTGCTCACTTAGGTTGATAGAAATTATTGCAAATAAGCATTGACTAGATTGGACCCTATTCAAACTAAGTATTGACTAAGCAAATAAGTATTGACTAAGCAAATAAGTATTGACTAGATTGGACCCTATTCAAACTAAGGCAGCCTAAACACCAGTTACTATAAATAAAACATGGAAAGGATTGTGAAAGGAAAATCAAGGGACCAAAGAAAGAAAGAAATGAGATGAGATGAGTGATATTGTTTATTCAGTGAACTTTCTGAAGACTTATTTGCTGCCTTCAATAGCTGGAGGTGATATACATAGTGCTCCTTCCTTCCGTATTTCCCCATTACAAACTTGTGAGTTTGTGGGACCCGAAAGTGAACGACTAACCCCAAGACACCTAGTGAAAAGATTGCGTGTATATGTGGACATATATATTGTACTGCTTGCACCAGTACTTCTGTGTCTGTGCGTGCAGTCTCAGCCCACACATTGCATTTAACCTTTGTGATTAAGATTGACCTTTTTATTCTAAAGATATACTTGAATAAAGTTTATTGTACAAAATGTAGCTTGGGGCTGAAGAGGTATAGACTATACAGGGGTAGTCAACCTTGGCTCTTTTATGACTCGTGGACTTCAACTCCCAGAATTCCTGAGCCAGCTGTGCTGGCTCAGGAATTCTGGGAGTTGAAGTCCACGAGTCATAAAAGAGCCAAGGTTGACTACCCCTGGACTATATAATTAAAGGCTGTAAATATAATTTGTGTTCCTTGCTTAATGTGAGGAATAAGGAAATTTGGCATACCATGTAGAAAAAATACATAGAGCGATAAATTTTTAAGAGGTATATTCTCAAAAATACAGTCGAGAATTATGAATTTGATTTTTGTCTCAACTGAATCCAGTCGTTTAAAAAAAGTGTGCATGAAGTCCATTAGTGGAAGAAAGAGTATTAAGTACTGATTTTTAAGTTTTTCTATAAGCATGAACCATACAAACCACACAACAGCTTCTTGATTGTTGTTTACATTTTATATTAAGTTATTGTGTTGTTTTTAAATGTTGTGAGTTACTATTGTGAGATGGAAGGCTATATAAATTGAAAAAACCCCAAATATATTTGTCTGCAAAAATATAGCCCATCTCTAATATATAAATGACATAACTAAAATGCCATTGTCATATTGGTGTATATAGATATACTTTGCATTATTTGTATCTTATTGTGCTTTTATATTGCAGAGTCACCCATGATCATTTGACAGTGCAACAAATAAATAAATAGCATCAGTAGCTTTCTGAGCCTGTTACAATATATCCATGGCCCATTTCTTCAGTCTGTCTCATCTTTCCTTTTACTGAATAAACTTAATTTAACATTTTAAATAATTTAATAGAAGAGGCATTATAATTTATCTGATTTCCATTCCTTTTTGGGGACATTCCACTTTTTTCTCAAAATAAATTCTTTACTTACTTTATAATGGTCTTTACTACATATGAATTTCAGTGGATCTTAATTATGTCAGTATCCATTTTTAATTCCTGTTGATTTTTTGAGTGGTATATTATAGGAAAACCAAGAAAAAGGTCTCATACTTCATTAACGCTCCAATTATTTGCTGTGGATGTTCTTAATCTTTTGTTTTATGACCCTTTCCTAAATCTACCTTATGGATTAAAGCTGGACCCTCTGCATACAAAACATATATCCTTCCTCATAGTTAAAGCTTCTCTGAAATTTATTTATTTATATTTAAGGAAAGAGATGGGAGGGAAAATTGTCACATATTTTAATAGAAATAACTCTTCTTTGTATGCTACTGTTAATTGTCTTTATTTTGAAGATAGAATAGTCATAGTCCAGTTTGGATCAAAAAGTCTTAGATCTCTCTAAAATGGAGTGAGGTCTAATGGGGAAAAATGGATTTGCTTAATGACTTTGTGATTCACTTAACCACATTGATTCAGTTAATGACTATGGCAAAAAAGTGGTAAAATTGGGCACAATTCACTTAACAACCATCTTGCTTTATAACAGAAAGTCCAGTTCCAATTGTGATCATAAGGATTACCTGTACTTCTGTTATGGATTGTTATTATGAAACAAATGAATAATTTTAACTCTAACTTTAATGTTAATTTGCTTTCATTTTGCTAGAAAATAATTTATCAGAAAGGAGATGGTTTTAAATGAGATGAACAATGATGGATGCGATCAAGAGGACAAAAAATGCTTGGAGCCTGATGTCATCGCGAAAGGAAACATACTTGAAAGTTTTACAGAGAGTCAAGAAATGCAGGAGATGATTAATCATCTTAGATTGGTATATGAAGATCTGATACTACGAGAAAGGGTTCTTGAAAAATTTAAAGGTATGAGATAATATTTTTTTTAAAAAGGTAAAAACTTAGGGACAATTAAAAATCAATTTTGGTCAGGATCTTTATTAGAAATATTTGTGTGCGTGCTATTTGTATAAATAATTGGAAATGTTATTTCCATTGTTTGCCAAGTGCAGTATAAGAGTAATCATTTAAGACTATTCATTTCCCTTTATTTACTAACTAAGTATTTTTTCTAGTTCATCAATAAAGTAGAACTTAAATGTGAATATAAAATTCTCTTAGTCTCAGCCTAGTAACTTTTTCTACTAAAATGAACTCTTACATTTTAATTTGAACAAACTCAGAGAGAATCTAGGAAAGATTCCATGGATGAAAATCCTAATGGGGAAAACAATCCAAGAAGCGAGGGAAACTGCAAAATGCGATCATAAAAGCCCATACCGGCACAATACCACTGAAAAAGAAAAACAAGAAATTCAAGAAGAAACCAACATGGCTGCACAACTATCTCTCTGACAAACTGAAAGACAAAAAGGACAAATACAAAAAATGGAAAGAGGGACACATAACTAAGGCTGATTATCAGCAGACAGCCAGAACATGCAACATGAAGTCAGGAAAGCAAAGGCTCAGAACGAACAAAGACTTGCAACAGAAATCAACAATAATAAAAAAAGTTTCTTCCAACATATTAACAGCAAGAAAAAAGTCAAGGAAATTGTAGGTCCACTAAAGAGAGAAGATGGCAAGGAAATAACAGGCAACAGAGAAAGTAGAGCTGCTTAACTCATACTTTGCATCAGTCTTCACCCAAAAGGAAACTGTAGCCCAACATACCAAAAAAACCACTACAAAAGACAAACTAGAAACAAAAATTAAAATAAGCAAGAAAATGGTAAGAGAACACCTATTCAATCTTGATGAATATAAATCACCAGGACCCGACAGATTACATCCCAGAGTTCTGAAGGAGCTGGCAAATGTTATATCAGAACCATTGTACCACATCTTTCATAAATCCTGGAACACCGGGGAAATACCTGAGGATTGGAAAAGGGCTGATGTTCCCGTCTTCAAGAAAGGGAAAAAAACGGACATAGGAAACTACAGACCAATCAGTTTAACATCAATACTTAGGAAGATCCTAGAAAAGATAATCAAAAAACATCTGCGAACTAGAAACAAAGTTATAACTATTAGCCAGCACGGGCTTGTTAAAACTCATCAAATTTGCAGATGACACCAAACTGTCAGGAGTAGCCAACACTCCAGAAGACAAACTCAGGATCCAAAAAGATCTTGACAAACTTGAACAATGTGTTCTATCCAACAAAATGAGTTTCAATGTGGAAAAAAGCAAAATTTTACATTTAGGCAGGAAAAATCAAAGGTACAACTACAGATTGGATGAGACCTGTCTTAAAAACAGTAACTGTGAGAGGGACCTTGGAGTCCTAGTGGACGATCACTTGACTATGAGCCAGCAGTGTGCAGCAGTAGCCAAAAAAACTAATATAATCCTGGGTTGTATAAACAGGCATAGAATCAAGATCACGCGAAGTATTAGTACCTCTTTATAAAACCCTAGTAAGACCACACCTGGAATACTGCAGCCAATTTTGGTTACTATATCACAAAAAAGATGTTGAGAGTTTGGAAAAATTTCAGAGAAGAGCAACTAAGATGATTAAAGGCCTGGAGACTAAAACATACAAAGAACGGCTGCAGGACTTGGGTTTGTCTAATCTAAAGAAAAGAAGAAATAGGAGAGACATGATAGCAGTATTCCAGTATTTGAGGGGCTGCCACCAAGAAGATGGGGTTACGTTATTCACCAAAGCGCCAGAGGGCAGGACAAGAAACATTGGTTGGAAACTGATGAAAGAGAGAAGCAACCTGGAATTAAGGAGAAACTTCCTGACAGTGAGGACAATTAACCAGTGGAACAACTTGTCTCCAGAAATCGTGGGTGCTCCATCACTGGAAATTTTTAAGAAGAGGTTAGACAGTCACTTGTCTGAGATGGTATAGGTTCTCCTGCTTGAGCAGGGGGCTGGACTAGAAGATCTCCAAGGTCCCTTCTAGCTGTATTCTATTTTATTTTCATTAGGAAGGGTAATGACTCAATTGGAATTCACAGAGGAGCACACTGTTTTGAAGCCCCTTCCTCTCCTTTTTAATTTTAATTATTTTATTCTTGTTTTTAACTGTTTTTATTATATTTATATATAGCTTTTATGTTTTTTGTCTATTTGTACATTGACCAGAGTTGCTCTGTGAGGGAGATAGATGGTGTGTGTGTGTGTGTGTGTATGTGCGTGTGCAAAAGTATTCTTAAATGATTGCATTTAATAGCTGGTGAGGTTGATTAAAAATTAATGGACTGCCAAGAGTTTTAACAATAAAAGTAGCATTTAAGATCCTAGTTTATTAAATATGTAGTCCCACAATGGTATCCTAAATAATTCTGAAAATTGTTGGATCCTATAGGAAGAGACATTGAGACATTGACATTGAGACATTGAGAGTGATTGAGTGAGGGGCTGTAGCGAAATTGGGGAAGTAGGAAAGCCCTGCTCTATAAAATCTATTCCATTAACAGAACAATAATGGAGATGTTAGCTTTTGCTTTTATGCTAACTTTGTTACTTCATAATCTTTTTATGTAAATCATTACTAATAATACAAGTAGACTTTGCCTAAGAAATGCTCATTCAGCCACTGTTCAAAGTTATGACAGTGCTGGAAAAGGAAATTTATAACTGGTCTTTGAACTTATGGCCATTGCAGCTTCCCTGCAGTCATGTGATAGCGCTTTGGGACCTTAGCAACCAGTACACAGCATCCTATGGTTATTTGTTCACCATTTACATCAGAAACCAGGTCTGATAAGCCAAGTTAGTGGGAAAATTGGTAGGAAGTTGGAAGCCACAGTCATGTAACGCTGCACTTAATGTCTATGAGTGATTCCCTTAATGACCGTAACTGGAACTGATGTCATAAGTCAGACACTGACACATGATGTTTCACTTTACAAACATGTCGCCTTGTGATGGAGTTGTCAATCCCATTTTCAGTCTCTACGTAAGCACTACCTGTAAATGTTTTAGTAAGTGGTGTTAAAAAAGTAATCTAATACATCATTAATTTAATTAGAAGGAAGATTTCTATCCTGGTCATTATATTCCTACAGGTGATAAATATGATTTAGAAATAATCCAGAGTTGTAGATTTCAACAACTCTTTGCTATTTTAAGGCTGTTTTAGGAAACCTAATATAATCGATAACCTATATAAATTTCAATAGCCATAGAACCAGGTGTACTGTTTGCATCTTCTCTTTTTTTGTGCATTTAACTTACTTTTGTTTGAATTAGTACTATTACAGTTAATCCTTCTAATAGATATGTGTATAAAAGTACCCAGAGTACGGTTTCTTTTACAATTGTGGTTAGTGGTTTAATTACATTTAGTTTAAAGGATTAATTTGCTCCAGACTGGGATATTATCATGAATTTTAACAAGCTCTGACTTGGAACTCATCAGGAAGCTGTACTCTCAATTGTAAAAAGTTGTAATGCTCATTTTTATTGTTACGCTGCTTTGAAAATAAATCAAATTTTGGTTACCTTGCATATAGTTCTGTAATTATGATTGTAGGGTGGCCTTCAGTTATATTGTTCTATGTTGATTTTATGCTGCTGGTTTTATTTTTGTTTTTAATCCTGTTTTAGCCACCCAGAGTTGCAGTTTGCAAGCTGGGTAGCCATATTAATTAATTAATTAAATTTATTTATGTATATATTCCCCGCCTTTATTATTTTGACAAATAACTAAAAGCAGCAAACATATCCAACACACCTTTCTCCTTTCCTCCACAACAGCAACCCTGTAAAGTGAATTGGGCTGAAAGAGTGACCGGTCCAAACTGGCTTTCATGGCTAATATGGGACTAGAACTCATAGTCTTCTGTGAGTTTCTAACCTGGTACCCTAACCCAAATACATTATGTATGAGGGTTAAAAGCATATTTTGTTTTGCTTGCTTATCCAGTATTGTTATTCAATTGTTTATCTTGGATTGCCCTCTAGTGAGGACTTGTCATACTACAGTAGTTGCTGCAATAGTACATACAATCTAATTTCTCTTAAGCATTTGGAGTAGAGAAATACAGATATTATATAATGGCCCTGTATATTATTTCCACTGCCCCTTGGTGGGGGAGGGAATTTCTCTATTTTTATTCAGTGTATATCCGATGAAGTGTTTTCGGTTTCACTGAGTACCAGGAGGCAGGCAGTATGTCTGACAAATTCCAAAAGGAAGTGGTCATCCAGTACTTGCCTCCTGTTGTTAATGTAACACAGTGCAGTGAAAGTGCACTGACTACGAATGGATGGATATAATTCTGTACAAAGTAAGCCATTAGCATATTTTTATAATAGTAACCACGATCTTTGTCATTTAAGAATGGTATTCTTAAATGTGAATATATATTCACTGGTCAGTTAAGTGGAATAAAGTGTGTTAGGGAAAGGGCTAAAATCTTTGGCCTGTTTTCTCCACTTTGGGGAAAGTACGGGGTTATTTTTTTAATGTTAATATTGTGTTAAACTTGCTGGTGGCTGAACACAGCTGTTTAATTCTGTCTTCACAAAAAATAGGTGAGAAACTGCACTGTCATACTGATTTTGTTGGATTGTAGAGGATGGAGGAAAAGGGCTATAGGCTCTCAGTGCTCTGTAGGCCATCCTTTTCCCATTCTGTGTTTACTGGAACAGCTTTGGAAACTTTGGGATCTTGAACTTAAAAGGAGGGGGAAAAAAAGAAATATCCTAGTATGATCTAGCTATCCAGTCTTTGCAACAAATCCCAAGGGCCGTGCATATATAACCTTGATCCCCTTCCTTTTCTAACACATACCATAAAAAGTTCCAGAACAAAAGATCTCACTAAGATACAGATCATTAATTTGTACATTTGAGTTCATTCATTTTCATTTTTTTAAATATAAAATGTGTAATCTTTAATTATTAGGATGCTGTTTATAACACATTTAAACAATATCTCTCATGTAGCAATGTTTACATTGCTTATTTTTTTTATCAAGTGTACTTTATTCAAGTGGCATGCTTTATTTAAGTGGCACACAATAAACATAAAAGATTGAATATTATTGAATACTGAATATTATAAAAATAATTTATTATAAAACATCACAAATTCAAGAAGAAAAATTTAATTCTGTAAATGTAATTCAAGTTCATTATTATTTTAATTAAGTCTTAGTCTTAATGTATAAAAAAATCAAAAGAAGGGACAAAGCTAAAATAGCAATAGAAATTAAAACGAAAGGTTATCTCCCAACCCTTAGTACTGTTTTCTAATTTGCTGCATGGGTAATCCTCGACTTAACAACCATTAATTTAACAACCATTGAAAGTTACAATAGCATTGAAAAAGGGACTTAGAACTGGTCCTCACACTTGGGACCATTGCAACATTCCTACTGTCATGTGATCAAAATTCAAATGCTTCCCAATCAGCATGTATTTACAACAGTTGCAGCATCCTCGGGGTGTGTGTGGGTGTGTGGGTGTCATATGACCTTCCCAGCTGGCTTTAAACAAAGTCAAAGGGGGAAGCCGGACTTGGTTAAGGACCATGTTACTCACTTATTGCAGTGGTTTTACTTAACAGCCACGGCAAAGAGAGTCATAAAATTAGGCAGGACTCACTAAACAACCACCTTGCTTAGCAGTGGAAATTTTGATACCAATTGTGGTCATAAGTCAAGGGCTACCTGCACTTTAAAAAGTCACAGCAGACTTAACTAGATTTCAAAATCTTAGGGAAGACTTTTCTTAAAGCCAAACCCATTGATACGTCATTTTCACATTTTAAAAAATGCTTGATAATTGAATATGTTTTTTGTTTGTTTGTGTGTTTTCAGTTATAATGGATAAATACCAGGAACAGCCTCATCTTTTGGATCCCCATTTAGGTAAATATTGAGATTCTATAAATTTTTGATAAAATCTCATTTTTTTTATTAGCATGGATGATACTGATTTTTTTCCCTTAAGAATGGGTAGTAGAAGATTCTTTCTAATCCAGTGTGTAGGACTTCTCTGCCTAGAATATACTTGCCTCTGAAAGCAGCTTTACTTAAAGAAATCGATACACTTCCAGTTTCATATCATTAATAGAGATTAAGACAAGAAGGAGAATAGGAAAGATTCTCTCCTCTCTCTCTCTCTCTCTCTCTCTCTCTCTCTCTCTCTCTCTCTCTCTCTCTCTCTCTCCCTCCCTCCCTCCCTCCCTCCCTCCCAGCAAAAAAAAAAAAATCTAAACAACAATAACAACAAAAACCAGCTCACATTCATACAGCTGGCAGGTTTCTGTAGATATCTGTTCCCTTCAGCCTCTTGATTCTGGGAAATAGGGAATAAGTCCAATCTCTCCCTCTATTTTGTGACAACATTTCATATATTTGAAAAAAGCCACTGTGTCAGATAGTAACAGTAACATGTGTTTTCCATGAAACAAATTAGGTAATCCATTCTGACACATATTCGTGAGGTTCTTCAGTGGGAGACAAAAAGCCAAGGAGTGAATGAAGAAATAGTGTTTCAATTGTTGAAAAATTTTTGCAAACCAACATTTCCCTTATCACCTCACCCATCTACCTGTGTTTTCCCTAGAGTGGATGTTGAATTTGCTGCTAGATATTATCCGACATGAAGCATCTCCTCCTCTTCTAATTCATCTGGCCTTTCAATTTCTCTACATTATTTCAAAGGTAAAATTAATTTTGAATATATTAGTAACATGGCCTTACTTGCATATTGTCTTATCTCAAATCAGATAAAAGAGGGACAGTCATTCATAATATAGTCACTGTCAGATGAATGGTTTGGAACCCTGTATTTTTGCAGTGGCTTATGGAGAGCACTAGGCTTTATAGAATTGCTCTTTCATAGTTTGTAATTGAAAAGCTAGTAGTCCTTAAATAAGCTCCACAAAGCCTAACAACTCCCTCTCCTTTTTATTACATCCTTATATATATGTAATTGAATTGTAATCGTTTTATATTTTTTACTATTATTGATACTTTATTATCATTGTATTGATTACATAAACATTAACTGTTTGCCTATTGCAAATGCATAACTTGAAAGCTCCCTTGAGTTAATTAAATTTATTTTTACGTTTCCATAAATGGAGATGAATCATTAAACTGGAAATCTTTTTGTTCACCTAGGTACGAGGATATAAAACCTTCTTGCGACTATTTCCTCATGAAGTAGCAGACGTACAGCCTGTTCTAAATATGCTTGTAGCTCAGAATCCAAAAGACTATGAGGTATGTTCTTGTTACCTAAAGTCCTCTCTATGAATGAGCTCATCCCATTATAACAGTCACTGTCCACACTAAAAGCAGGCTGCTGAAAGATTTCCCAAGTCTTGGTATTGCTGTCAGTATTAAAACAGAGATGATAATGAATAATATAACTACTTTATATAAGCAGCTTTTTGCATGTTCATTTATGTAGCCAGGGGAGAGATATTTTCAGTTGTGGTGCTAGTCTTTGTTAGAATTTCTTGTCTTCGTCTCCCAGCCATTGAAATGGCTGAATTTTGACATTTTATATGCTTGCATGTGTATAAAGATTTTAAAGAATATTTTTTCCTTTCTGTATATTGATCCTTAAAATATGTTATGTACTTAACTTTGTACCTGCCAGGTACTTTCTTTGCACCTTTTGTAGAGAACTAGTATAAGATTTGTATTAGTGTAATTCAGGGGTGTCAAACTCAATTTCATGAGGGCCGCATCAGCATTGCGGTTGCCCTTGGGACGGGTGGGTGTGGCCAGGGTGGGTACAGCCTACTGGGTGGGTGTGGATGGAATGGGTGTGGCCAACTGGGTGGGCATAGCCAGCTCTACATAGTTCGCTTCAAGGGTGCCTGTGGGGGCCTGGGCAGGAGTGGGACAGATCTGAGAGTCTCTGGCAGAAGGGGGTGGGACCAGGCCAAGTGCCAAGGCATGGTCCACTGGAGGAGCCTCACTGTTCCTCTCAGGCCATGCGGGGGGGGCTGGAAGGTGGTGCAGGCTACTCGGAGCCCTGGGCAGCAGAGGTCAAACGCCCAGCCTGGCCCTCGAGCACCCACAGCACTAAGCCCAGCCCCACTTCCCCCAGGGGGTGCCCAGCTGCACTTATCTCCTCCTCAAGGCTGCTGCTGCTGTGCTTGCTCTCCTTAGCCAGGTTGCTCATGATGGGTACGAGGGCAAAGTCAGAGGGAGGCCCATTCCCTCTCCATGGGAGGAGACCTGGCTTTGTATCCAAAGCTTCCTTAACAATAGGATGAGAGACCCCCAGGAGGAGGGGGCAAAGGGATGATGAAAGGGCAGCAGGGCAGGACTAAGGCAGGAGTTCCCTCAGACCCTCCCTTCCCTTTCCTTCTTTCCTTCCTTCCTTCCTAAGTACAGAGTGGTGGGAAAATATTTGAGATGAGGGAGGGAGAAAAACAGACAAGAAACGCAACTGGGGAGGTGTCACCCTTCGTGAGAAATGAAGAAATGCACCATCACCTGGAAGTAGCCAGCACATGGCCCTCACCTACTTCACATATCTGGCTTGGTGGGCTCTGGGAGAGGGGATGCCATGAGCAGCGTGAGAGTCAACATTACCTGCGCAATGCCGCCCAGCCCCTAGCCTGCCCGGTCTCGGCAGACAGAGGGGTGCTCTCCTCACAGCGCCAAGAGGTTGAGCTGGGTGGTGCGAAGCTCATCAGCTTTGCACCTTGCTGCCTGCTGAAACTGGGCAGACTGGGGGCTAGGCAGCATTGCATTTCTCATCAGATTCGCGCCACCCGGCTCAGCTCTTGGCGCTGTGAGGAGAGCGCCCTGCTGCCTGCCGAAACTGGGCAGGCTGGGGGCTGGGCGGCCTCGCACTTCTTTTTGGATTCGTGCCGCCCGGCTCAGCTTTTTGGCGCTGTAAGGAGAGCGCCCCGCTGCTTGCCAAAACCCCTCCCCCGCTGCCCATCAAGCCGAATAGGTGAAGTAGGCGAGGGCCATTTGCTGGCCACTTCCAGGCGATGGTGCATTTCTTCATTCCTCACAAAGGGTGACACCTCCCCAGCATGCACCCAGGGGGCAGGGCCGACACGGCAGGGGCTGGTTTCTCGTTGTTTTCAGACGGCCTTGTGGAGCTAAGACTGAATGCGTTTCAACATAGATGCCCACCACAAAATTGTACATTGGCTCCCGGCCGGCTGGGCCAGAGCCAAGGCAGAGGGGGCCATTCCCTCACTGTTTCCAGGATGGCTTCGCGGGCCACATGAAACCACTTCACGGGCCGCATCCAGCCCCCGGGCCTTGTGTTTGACATGTCTGGTGTAATTAATGTATCAGAGTATAAAAAAATATCTTTGCCTTCATTTACATTGCTTGAATAAAACCCTATTCTATTTGCATATTATGATGCCTTTTTGATGACGCAACCTTACCAGAAGGCAAATACAATATTAGGATGATGAGACACAATCCCCCCCGAACAACGTTTGCATTCAATACTTGTTACTAAATAACAAGTTAGCTAGGTTAGATTTGATGAATGCTAATCATTCTTCTTAGAGACATACATGGTCACAATTCCTTTTTGTTTCTGAGTTGCAGTTTGAAAATTATCTGCTATTAACTTGGTAAAAGTTAATGGGCTGGCAAAACTGTTTCAGAATTTGTCTACTTATGGGTCTTTGCAAGAGATAAACAAAATATGTCAAATGCAAGATGTTTTGAGCTATAAACAGTTTTTTTCAAGTTTGAAACAATCTATTCCAAGTGCCAGGAGCATTTCAGATATCAGAACCCATTTTGAGATTAAAATGTTTTGCATTCAAAGTATTTTTCCATAACTCTAGTGTTTATGTTTATATTATCTTTGGGTTCAACATAATCCAAATCCTAACATAACCAAATATGTCTCATTTTTTTCTCATATTTGTCTTAATTTATTATCTATTTTCTATCTCGATTTTGCAAGTAGAAATAGTTTTTACATTGTACACTGGATGTTTTCTGAGAACATTCACTATGTATTTTACCCTGATTCTTTTTCTGCCTTGTTAGATCTGGGAGACTCGTTACATGCTGTTGTTGTGGTTATCTGTAACATGTTTAATCCCATTTGATTTGGCACGGCTAGATGGAAATATTGCTTCCATAGAAGGATGCCCCCGTGTATCAACAATGGATCGAATTCTGGCAGTAGCAAAAGTAGGTATAGTTGCATAAAAATCATGATTTATAGAATGGTTTCTTTCACTTGAAAAAAGTGATTGTAACTTAAACATAAAGGCAGTTCCTTTCTGCTTAATCTGGGTAATTCTATGTATTTTACTATACAATTTATCATAACAATCTTTCAAGCTTATTGTATACTAATTGATTTGAGGGGAATCTTATGTATAGGATCAGTTTTGATAAAGAAGGTAAGTGTCCTTTTAAAAGCCACTGTGTCTTTGTTTTGATGTTGCATACTTTATTTTCTAATTCATGACCCTCTAGTAACACTGTAATATGCTGCAGAGTTTAAAACAAGTATACTGTTTAGAAATATGCATTTTATGATTCTGTGCATATAAATGTTGAAAAAGAAAGTTCAGAGGGCACTTTAAAAAAACTGTTCCTAAAGCAGTTTTGAAGACAGTTTTGTTTACAAGTGCCTATCCTCCACATCTTTGAATTTTGCAGATTGTTTGGCACTTTATTTATATGCTAGCTTAACATTCTATATAAAAATTGTTTTTTTTAATTATCCTTCTCAAATTTCTCAACTTTTCATCCATCCTGACTTGCATACGCACATACACACATACACATTAAGTAAACTTTTTTCATATAATTTACTTTGTACGATCAATTTTAATATAATAAATTTCAACTCAAATCTGTTCTTTCTTTTAGTCATACCTTGTTGTAAGTGATAAGTCTCGTGATGCAGCTGCGGTCCTGGTCTCAAAGTAAGTTTCTTGTGCTGATAGAGAAGAATATAAAACTTCTTTTAAAAAAATGTACCATTATCAATAAGCCTAGACTTGTTCCAATGGGCAGTCGTATACATTTGCAATATGAATAAGTAAGCCCTTAAGTCAATATACACAATAGCAGTATGAGAATTTGCTTCAGGGTAAGAAGTAAGCTTACTAATGGTGCCAACTGTGTGGTAATTTTCTTCATTAAATATAATCCTTGATTTACGATCAGCCACATAGCAACCGGTCAAGTTATGATCCCAAAAATGGGGTTGAAGTGCCGATGGCCAGGCTTCCTCAACGGTCATGTGACTGAACTTTGGGTGCTTGGCAGCACAGCTGCATTTATGGCCATTTCCAGCATTCTGGATTCATATGATCACGTTTTAGGATGGTTTTGCCGAAAGCCAGCACTTTCTTCTGATTTTCGTAAAAATTAGTCTCATAGTGAACCATTGGTTGTCGTAATGATCACCGCATTTGCTTAATGACTACCACAAAAAAGATTGTAAAGTTGATTGACATACAGCTATCATGAGCAGTCTCCATTTTGGTTGTACGTCGAGGACTACTTATATAAAGAAGGGGTAAACCTTCAGAATTTTCTCATGGCCAAAGTTGCTCAAAAGTTTTTTTTCTGTTGCTATCCCTGCCAATAGAGTTGACAATATGGCAAATTTATCAGTGTGGGTATGTTGTGTAGGGTTGGTGTGTCTCTATATGTAAATGTTATTTATATGTTTAATAAAGGGTGGAGAAATCAGTGTGGTCACCAGTTTGGGTAACAAAATATGTGAAGGTTGTAGGCATTGTGATTTGGAGTCACTCTGCTTCCAAGAAAGATTACTGTGAGGTTTTCTTAGTCTCCACCTACACTGTAGGAGGGTAGAATGGGAGACAAGCCTGCCAACCGTGATGGCTGCAATATTAAGCTTTGTTATAACTAATAGAGAGCCTAAGAAAGTTAACTTAAATCCTCAACGTTGTCATTTCTCTTAATGTTTTCTGATTAACTCCCACCATTTCATGGCTTCTGGAGACAACTAATAGTCAGTTCACATATGATTGATTCTTCATCTCCTCTTCCCCATCCCACAAATGTTTGTTTACTTGAGCATCCTTGTAGCATATCGATACCTTCCCCCCCCCTCCTAGTGATCCTGTTCTGGCTGCAGTCTTACAGTGCTGAACTATTATTATAAAAAATGTGTACATGTAAATGACATTCAAATATTTCAGTACCATGGAAATTCAATGAGTTATTCCAAATTAAATACAGTATTTTTCATAACTGTGCTAAAAAGAGAGATGCGTTAGCCAGGTTATTAGGGATTTCTGTCAAATCATCTGTCTTAGTAGAATCTTTTTTATGTTAAGAGTCAGTAAATACTGTAAATAGTAATAGTAGTAGTAGTAGTAATAATAATAATAATAATAATAATAATAATAATAATAATAATAATAATAATAATAATAATAATAATAATAATATAGTGATGATGATGATATCAAGTTGGTGGACTCTTAGCAATCAACACCATGATGATTTCCTCCATGATGATCTGTTCCTGATCTGGTTTTTCAGATCTTCTAACAGTAGACCTCTTACCACTGTAACTGAGACCATTTTTTCTGGTCATCCAGTTCTTTCCTTTCCCAGCATTAAAGCCATTTCTAGAGAGCTTGGTCTTACATAATGTGTCCAAAAAGGCTAATTTAAGACTGTGATAAAAGATAGACCAGTATACAAATGAAATGCATCTGTCTTTGTATTAAGGGTATGCAGAACAATTAATAGTTTTGAGATATCATGCCAACATTTGTTCTTCTTCTTCTTCTTGTGCCATATCCGTTATCGGATGTTGGCAATCATGTTGGCGATCCTATTTTTATCAGCAGCCGCACGAAAAAGTGCTGCTGAGTTTTGTCCAAGCCAGTCCCTTAGATTTTGAAGCCACGATGTTCTTCTTCTGCCTGGACCTCGTTTGCCTTCAATCTTTCCCTGGAGGATTAAATGGAGTATGCTGTATTTTTCTAGGTGTCACATCACATGTCCGAAATATTCTAATTTTCGTTTTTTAATTGTTTTGATCATTTCCCTTGGCTTTCCCAGGCGGCTTATCACCTCCTCATTTCTGATCTTGTCAACCCAGCTTATACGTAACAGCTGCCTGTAAATCCACATTTCAAATGCTTCTAGTCTCTTCAGGTGGCCTTCTGTCAGAGACCAACTCTCTACTCAATAGAACAGGATAGAAAAAATATAGCATCTGACAAGCCTGATTTTCAGTCTTAGGCTTATGTCGTGACTGCAGAAGACCTTTTTCATTTTGAAGAATGCTGCTCGGGCTTTTTCTATCGTTGTCTTTACTTGAACGGTCATGTCCCAGCTTTCATGTAAATGCCAACATTTGTTAAATACCTTCAATGACTTAACTCTTCTTCTTCCCTCCACACTGATGTTTGTTTCAAATTAACAACAACATTGTGACAAAAATACATGAAGTGGGTTGTTTCGTCCATGGTATTGTTTGCTTTTTCTTTAGCTAATTATTTTTTGTATTCCATTTTTATTGTTGTTTGCAACCAGAGTTGTGACAAGTCAAATGGCCTTACAAATAAAAGTATTTATAAATTATTTTAATAATGCTTTACAACTACATCTAATAATGCTTTATTTTTTGTACAGGCTTTACACTGGTAAAAATGCTCAGAAGTTACAACTTAGCTCTACTATGTAATGGGAATATATTAAAATATGATTTTTTTTTAAAAAATGTAGAAAATAGATCTACCTTCACAGTCTATGAACATATAATCTAGGGTCACATATGGTTTGAATATTGTTTAAAGTGTTTGGATCTCGTATAATTATAGCAATTATAGCTTCTCTCTACTTTTCATTAAAGCATCCATTTTTTTCCAGGCTTCTGTGCAAGGTTGAAAAAAAAATGTGTACATCTTAATGAATAAGTGAGAACTGTTGGACTTAAATGAGATTTGAAGCAACTCTTCCAAATCATTTAATAAAATATTTTTTGTTAATGAATTATAAAAAATAAAAACTAATAGAGACTACACAAAATAAGATTGAAAAGGACAAATAGAAAGAGCAGAATTAGAAATAAAATATAGAAATAACTGAAAAAGAAGTAACTTCCTTCTTCATCGTGACAAGTACAAATAATTTTAGTAACTTATCCCATTTTCTTAAAATGCAACAAACACTTTTTTCTTCCCATATCTCATTTCTTAACTATAAACAAAATCTTAAAACTTCACCATTCATTCCTGGTCAGCAAAAATCCATTAAAGGCTATCAGAGATAATTACATAGCTATTACAACCTTGATCAAATAAGCCAATTCTGTATTCCTTTTCTGTATTTTTTAAATCTTGGCTTTTAATCCCTTCAAATGGTGTTCTCAAGCTTGATTTCTTTTCATCTTCTCTTGGTCTCCTTTCAGAATATCCTTCAAAATTTTAAACAGATTTTTATAAATCCAGTAAAAGAAAAGTTATCCAAATAATACATGTCTCTCTTTTTCAAATATCAAGACATCTTCCAGTTTCATTTGTATATTCAGCATATCCTCCATATTTTTCCATATCATTCTTGCATGTTTAAATGCATATTAAAATCAATCTCAATCTTATTTGATATAGCTTGTTCTTCTTTTGAAAGAACATTTTCATGCCATTCATCTATGATATTAGATATTTTTAAAATTAATGTCCAAATCTATTGTTCACAAGTCTCCATAAAAGATCCACTGTTAAAGTATTTTGCTTCATTCTATTCTAGTGTGTCAAATCTGAAATTCTTCTTCATTAATTGTCATCTTTAATTTCTTCTATTTCCCTCTAGTGTCCAACATTCAAAGTCCTAGATTATCATGTTTTTCCCCCCAAACCAAAACAACTATAGTTTCCCTTGGGAAGACTTCTTATAATTAATTTCATATTCTTATTTCAAATCCATCTGTCTCTTTAGGCAAATTTGGAACATTCCAAAATCAACATTCTAAACACCTTTTTGCTGTTTATTCTAAAAATTAATATTTTTCTAAATCCTTAAATTTGCATTTAAAACATATTTCACAAAGGGAGAGACTCACCCAGTGAATGCAATAGAAACTTATTGTTCTGAAGGTTCTTATTATTTCAAAAGCAGTAAAAAGTAACTCCAAAGGTGATTAAGAAATGGGGCTCAATTGAGCTGTGCTACAACTCTTGAGCCTAGGTGGAATATTCCCTCGATTTCCAGTTGTTCAACTCATAGACCAACTGAAAAACCTCAGTTCTTGCAGTTTAATCAGGAGGATCAGCTGTCCAGGGTACATGTGGGCAATCTCACAATTTCTCCTTTTTCCGGAGAGATTTCATCACCCAGGATCCAGGATCCAGCCACTGATGTCTTCCATAAACACTGTCCTGCTTTGACAGAGATGTCTTAAGATGCCACGGCCTCACCAGAAGTGTCTTCCAAGTCATTTTTGAAATATGCACAATTTATATTGTGCCAAGGCATATTGGAATCTTTTTAGTAATATCTAGTGGGAAGTTCAAGACATTTGCGCAAGTCCATTTATATATTGCTTTAGATTTACAGGAATTATTACAAATCCATTGAAAACATATTTGATAAAACAATACAGCAATATGAAGCCTGTAATCCACATTAATATTGCTTTTGTTTAAAAAAACAAACCAGAAGTCAGAGATTTCATCCAACGGTTTCCTATACCATTCATTTAGAAGAATCATATATAAAAATATTTTTGCTCCTGGGATTTGTTTATTTATTTTACATAATCTTTACATCCCACCTTTCATAGAGGATTCCAAGGTAATGTACATAATATTCTTTTTTTCCCTATAATGTAACCATTTGAGATAGATTGAAATAAGAGAGTGACTGGCCCAAAGTCATCCAGTGAGCTTCTGTGGTTGTGAATAAACTAGAACATGGGGGAACTTTGGGAAAGACCAATACTATAACAATATTGGCTTTCTAATCAAGATCAGCTTGCATTCAATATAAGTATAGCTGAGGCCTGAATCTGCTTAACTTCCAAGATCAAGTCATTTCCCAATTTCCTTAGCAATCCTTGAACTAGAAAAAAGCAGGGGGTTGGACTCGATGACCTCCAAGGTCCCTTCCAACTTTATTATTATTATTATTATTATAACCTTCTTTATTTTGCTGCTAGCTTTTATATAATATCACACTAGGTGGCAGGTCCATGCAAACTTAGCTAATTTAAAAAAAAAAACCCTATGGGTTGGAGCTTGCTAATTTTTGAATGTCAAATCATCAGGACATTTCTGGACTGTAGGCTAGATGGCAAAGGCAAAAGAAATCCAAAAAACAAAAAACAGGAAAAAGGTAATTACAAATAACGTCCCTATTGTTACCAAGAAAACTGTATGAATGTGTCCATATAAATCACTCTGCATTAAAACTATATGAATGTGTCCATGTAATCACTCTGCTTGAGGAAGATTTACCTTCCCTACTAATAGAAAAAGAAGATTTGGAGAAAGTCACTTCTTTTCTGTTCCAGTGGAACAGCTTACCCCCAGAAATTGTGGGCGCTCCATGGAGATTTTTAAGAAGAGACTAGACATTCACCTGTCTGAGATGGTATAGGTTCTCCCGCTTGAGCAGGGGGCTGGACTAGAAGACCTCCAAGGTCCCTTCCAACTCTATTCTATTCTATTCTGAAAATTGTGTGTTATGGGAAAATGGGAAATACACTTTTTAAAGCATACTTTCAAAAAATGATTGTGCTATAATTGATTTTCTATTTTATTTTCCTTTCCTCCACCATTTCAAGACAATTTGATGTGTACTGTAACAATTCATATTTGTGCATTATGACCTCCTTTAGAAAAGATAGAGTTAAAAAACTGACAGTTGGAATGTTCCCAATTGAAATATGTTGGAAAGCATCCATTGGACAATTGCCTTTAGGAAAAAAAAACAGTTTGCCTAACAGGAAAAATGTGTTACCAGTTGAATTGCTCTGAATAGGTAACTTGCGCAACATGTGTTTTTTCTTTGTATGTAGGTTTATTACCCGTCCTGATGTCAGACAAAAAAGAATGGCAGACTTCCTGGATTGGACCCTTTCAACATTATCTAAATCCTCTTTTCAGAATATTGAGGGGATTATTGTAATGGATGGCATGCTTCAAGCCCTGGTAAACAATTGTTTTCAAAGATAATCCCATTTTTCTTTTCTAAATGCTATTTTTAACTGTCAACTCCCTTAATCATTGGAAGTATTTCCAAATATAAGTGTCTAAATTATATGTGGCTGCCAGAACATAGAATAAAATTTCTCTGCTACTCTTGCATATGTGGCAAGAAAAATCTGCCAATTCTCTCCCTTGTATAATGAAGAAAAGTATTAGAGCTCTTTGGGTCAGTATGTTTCAAGCACAAACTATCAGATCCACGCTCAAAGAGTTCAATTAACTATTTATAACATGTGCAAGCCTATAATACAGGAATCTTCTTAGACTGGCGGTTTGCACCTGAATCAGACTAGCTAAGGCTCAACAGCCTTCAAAGACAGTCAGACTTCATCCTCTTATGCTTACGTAGGGATTCCAGACTAA